ATCATCTAATTAATCTGTACCTCTCCATACATCGGAAAATCCGGAGAATCAGAAAGCTCAAAACGATATGAAACGCATCCTCGCTTATACGGTTATCAGATTCGCAGTATCCTATTTTCACGATTTACGAACGTAAACATCTCGCCGTCTCGGACGTTATGTCCGGTACAGTCGAATCAAATGTACAAAATATACGAAATAACCGGGGGGTTGTCGGGGTATACAACGACGAGGCGAGCAGGATTTTACGTGCATGCTCGTGGAAATTGTGTCTCTCCGAGGATGTTGCTAAACGGGGGTGGAGCGAGAAAGAGAGAAAGAGACCGGAGATCGTACAGGAGTTTGGTTGCGCATCGCGCATACCGGTGTGCATATATGGTCGCCATAAACATCCCTCGCAGGCACCTACCGGACCGGAGCCGTGTCTGCGAGGAAAACGACGAAATCACCCGGAAGCCACCGGCGGTCCGTTATGGTCGCGTTATGCCAGAGTATCGCGTTATAAACTTCCGTGAGAGGCGTCTCAGCCTGTGTGTCCGTCGCTCTCTCTACACCGTCGGAGATAACGATCCGCTCTTTCGCTCTCTCTATCGTATTACTCGCACTTTGGAGGACCGCTGGCTCTGGCTCTCGCATGCTCGAGTTACAACTTCATGTAATCGGTACCGTGAACAAACCGCGTTTCATACCGCTGCCCCTGAACGTTTCCGTCTGCGTATATAATATCGCATACCGAGAGTGCTGCTAGATTCGAATGAATTCGAAGCCTCGCTCCTAATTCAAGCGTCCGATGATAACGCTAACAACATATATATCGTATATTTCTTATTTGCGAGAGACACAGCGTACATATCGATTAATTATACCGACGTATTCGATTCAAGAAATCACTGGCTGAAAGTTGATTTTTTCATTTGAGCCAGTTTTAATGGAAAAAAGAGGAATCGTTTTAAATAACTGAAGAAATGATTTAACAATGCAAAACCAAAGATATGTAATACGATGTTAATTTCGAATTATTATTATTAATAAATAATATGAATATCTAAAAATCGCGATTTTATTTGATAATTTACAATAGATCTTGGACGAACACAGGAGAATATACGAATTGTTAGTGAAATTCGAAATCGTTGTCACGTGCGTTTCCGCACGTCGATAAAACGATAAATGTACAATTTTATGGCGGAATTGATATTTTATATGACTGGCATGAAAGAGAGAACGCGCCGCGCGGCGCATCCACGTCGCGCTTTTACGACGAATAAACTGTAAACGCTCCATCCGCATAGTGGCTCAAGTTATCAATCGAATTGCCGGTTTGAGAACGAGCGCGAAAAACCGAAAGCGCGGACAATCTGTGAAACGAGAAAAGCGAGATACGGAACTAACATATTCGAGAATGCCCATACATCCGTATCTCGAGTTTCAGAATTCATTTATTATAGTCTCGAATTTTGCATACTATCTTGCGAACTTTTTCACAATTCTGCATACGTTTCAATAAAAATCATTCCGTCGTTTTGAATTAAACTACTCATGTTAAAAAATAATTCATATTCAAAAATAAACGAGATAAATATTCGCCAATTTATTTTAATGATGATTTTCTTTATTTTGTTTCCTACTATTATTATAAAAGGTAAAATCTTTTTTACACAGCTTTCCAAAGAATTTCATAAAATTCATGTAAAGAGATAATATACATGTCAAAGTCATAAATTAAAAATCGCGTCAAAGTCATTTAATCAATTTCAGAGATATAATCGTGTGTAATTGTAAAAAGTCTCGAATATGTAAAAATTTACAAGCGCGCGGAAGGAAAAAGAGACGTACATTTCCGGTGGTTGTAAATAGAAGATCTGACCATTGTTGAATAATCTATCCACTATTTCGGATATCCGGGGTGCCGTCACATCCGGTAACGTAAAATCTCCCAAAATTACATCCGTTACAGTTATCGATACAATTGTGAAGCAAAAAATCAAAATAACTCGAGTTTTAAGTCGTCCTCGAATTCTTTTCAGAAAATTATATTAAAACGAAACGATGATAAACGTATCTAGCGTGCAATTTTCGAACTATAGATTTTTGCTATGCGATATAAATTCAGATCAAAAACGATTCACGACATGAGCCAAAAATGGTGAGCCGTGTTAAATTGGCCATTTATCTTTCTGCCACAAGAGATCCTTAATATTTTAGAGGATATTTTCCCATTTTAAAAATAATCAAAATTTATTTCGAAGAAAATGCTTAACAACGTATTTATTATATTATGTAAGAGTTTAATGAGATTTAGTAGAATTTATATTAATTGTCTTTATTCAAGATATCATTAATACTCCTTATGAACTTAAAATGGGAGAATTTTTTTTCCGCAATTTTATTAATGCTACATTTTTTTATATTATTTGCGCAATAAATATTATTTATTAAAAATGTTATTTTTATTTCTACAATTGTGTTATTATAGAATATTTGTTGACTATAAATATAATGATGTAAATGTCAGAATTAACATTATTTGTGCATCAAGACTTTTCGCAACGTAAAAAGCTTTAAAACTCTAAGCTTCGAATTATAAGAGCTAACGTGTTTTATTACAACTCCGTTAAAATTTAAAAAATCTAAATTGAAATACAGCATGTATGGAAATTCGTATCTGTCAAAGCTGAGTTGAAAGAATTAAAAAATGGTTACATTCCATTCAATTAAATCTCTGTCGATAAAAGCGCGAGAGCGGATCTGTGTCGTGTAATATCTCGCAAAATATATTTGAATATTTCTCACATTAATAAGCGTGATCCGACTTTTACACAAAGCATATCGAATAGTACGAACTGTGCGCTAAACGGTATTCGAAATTTTATGGTCGTGCGAGACAGGTATCCTTTTAATGCACAAGCCGGCACGGCGCGGCAGAGCCACATAAATCCAATCTATATACATATAGCGGAGAGAACGAAAATTCTGAATCGGCTCGCATTCGCGTCGCTCGGCCCCGAAATTGGCAACAGGCAACGATGCGAGGTGCGACTTCGGCAGATTGTGCGGAGGTGACGCGGGACGATTCAGGAGCAGCAAGCGGAGCTTGCTGAATTATATTGTTTGATAAATCCGTAATGTATATAGATCCTCTCTATTAAATGGATTCGTCTATGCCTCTCCATCCTCTCCCCAGCCTTCTCTTTCCTCCCGTTTCCCATCGCGTGGCAATAATGCCGGAATGATTGGCTCTCGCTGTCTGGTCTCTCATAGAAACGACGAGCATTTACTACTAACAATGTGCAACGTACTATCAGCAACCTACAACCTAATCTAGGGAACGACGAGCGCGCGTTTTCGAACTTCCAGCCCTAATAGTTACGTTAGTTAGTGGGCCACAGCCCGTGCATATATCATGCATGAGGATGACGGAGATGGGATCTTAGAGAAGAGCATATTAAACGTTCAAAACCTACCGAACATGATAATCCGGACTTTCGGAGCATCGACTCTCGGCTTCTTGAGAGAAAGCTGATTTCGTGACTTGAATGGATATTATGATAAGTACATACGCGCATAAATGTCGTATATCAAAAAGGATTGATGACTTACTAAGAGACCCGGAATAAAGACTACGAATGTCACTGTGAGATGACATATCGTCGCATCAATGAGGAAAAAAGTCGCAAGTACGAAATTATCATTAAATCCACTTTACTATACACAGATTGAAAATTATATATAAAATATTGTTTACTTCGAGTTTTTTCTGCTTTTTGCGTTATACATATATATATAATCTAAAATAGACTTTAATTAAATATTAATCAAATTTATTAAATTAATTTAATTTAATTTTTTTTATTTAAATTAATTTTATGTTATTCATTTAATATTTATATATTTTAATATAAAGTGCATTTAATTGATTCGTGCAAATGTTACTTTCAAGTAAAGAAACATATAAAAACCCGTCTTATACGTTAAATTTATATAAAAACTTTATTCTATATATTTAAGTCCAGAGTCAAGTTGATTATTCCAGCGGAACTTTTTTCGGTAATGCTGCACACGATGAACTCGCATGTGGCATTACCGCGAATTTTATCCAGCTTTCGGTCCCGCTATAAATCTGCGACTAACCGAGAGTGTTACACTCAAACGTATAGTAGCGAAAGAGCAGTCGCGAACACACGCGAGATACGCGAATGAAATGCATCAAGCGCTCCTCCGGAAATGAATATAACGAACTCAATTAAAACCGGAGTGGGCACTCGAGAGCGCCGTAAAAACGAAGGACTCTTGCCACGTCACGAATGTCGCCGGATGAATCGAGCCGGAAGGAAGGTCAAAAAAATTCGGCGCGAATTATTTCAACGTGAAATGCTCTCGCGAAGCTTTTTCCTATTATTTACACTGAACCAAAATTAGAAAAGTAAAATTACTTGTACTTTATAAACTATACTCTATGCGTCCTTATTTGTAATTTTGTAATTAAAATGTCAAGTCTCATTAAACTTGTAAAGAAAAAATTTAATATTTACTAACAAGTAAAAATTGCAGAATGCGACAACATAAATTACAACAGACTGGCAATATATAAACGAAAAACATTAAAACTTTAATAAAAAGCACAATCCTGAGATAAATATAAATAATGCAAACTTAGAAAATATTAAAGTCTTAAAACTTTTAGGAAAGATCAGCATTATATATCAAAAATAAAATACACGTGTGTAATTAATAAATATGATGCTTAGAATAATTTACAAATAAACTAATTAATAATACTCAAAATTCGAAAGAGTTTTGTGTAATCTGATATTTTAACAAACATATAGATGCTTACAAAATTCTTGATAATTGTCTTCACATTTCATTAATTTTTATACATTCATTTATGATATACTCTATCTCATACGTTCATAATAAATATACATTCGATATAATTATTGATCGATTTTTTATCTAAAGATTGTGTATGTGTAAGATTGAAAAAATACTTTACTCACCAGCACGATGCGTAACGGCAGAATTGTAGTACACACGACATTGATCTGTAAAATACAAATATATTCAAATTGTACATATATACAAAACAATTTTTAAAATATATTTTAAAACATAATTATTACACACTTTCAATTAAATTTATCATTTATGTTTTAAACAGATTTTGAAAAAATTATAAAAATTTGGAAATAAAAATTTTATAAATATATAAATTGTTATATAAAAAATAATAAGTTAATTTATAAATAAAAACTTAGTCCTCATATAAAAAGAACTAAATTATCAATCTTAAACAATTTAAAATATATTTACTATGTTATATGTGTAATAATAAAAAATAATAAAAAATAATGTCTAACATAAGATAATCTAATATAAGATATTAATAAAACATTTTTATATAAATTTATAATAATATAATTGAAAAAAGGTGCAAGAAAGATGATTAAACTGTATAAATAAACGTAGGAATTAGCTTAACGAATATAATAATATAATAAAATAATGAATTAAAAAGATATAAATATATTTATTGTTCCGTTCTCCCCAGGTTTTCGCTTCATCTTTTTTTATGCTGCTTTCTGACACTTACATATTATTTATTCGCGAAAACACGATTGTAATCACTAATCAATATAATACGAGCGATAAAACAACACTTTGTACGGCACATGTTAAGTTAAATTAGAAAATAACTGAAAATGATATAGACAAATTACCGAAAAATTGTGATATGAGATACTCGATTTCCAATTACTAATTATCGTTAGTAAATATCAATATTGAAAAGTTAATATAAAACAATTAATTTATAATCTACTTAATCACTTACCGGTTCAAATTATAAATATAGCGCGAAATATCTATTTCGTTAAATACCTACAACCTTTTATGTTCGTTTATCCCGATAATTAAGCTGTATCAGCCATGTCGAACTAATAATTGCTAATTATGACAATCGCATGATCGCGTTTGATATCCTTCAATACTTCTTATGTTCGTTTATCTCGATAATTAAACCATATCAGCCATGTCGGACTAATAATTGCTAATTATGACAATCGCATGATCGCGTTTGCTATCCCTCAATATTTCTCGTGATCGCGTTTCGAAAGATAATACAGGACGAAACACAAAGCGGATCGCATGTACCTGCCTTCCTGACTTCCTATTCGAGTCACGTCGCACGAATGACAATGACGTGAAGATTGCTGCATATCAATGCACCACGCAAGGAACGAGTGTCAAACACATGATTGTCGATTCTTTCTCTCTCCGTTACAGATTGTTTAATTTTAACACATTATAAAATAAATGCGTATTCTTATTTCTTGAATTTCAAATTAATTTATATTAATAATATTAATAATTATATTAATTATTAATTTATATTAATAAGCAATTTATGTATGTCTTTCACGGTATTTCATTAATTAAATCAATCAATCTTACGATTATGTATCGCGTCTTGATAAACAAATTATACAAATTATACATATTAATCGGCAAAAAGTTTAAAGCACGGAGGTGTAAGATATTAATATGCAAATCCATTAAATATTTAAGCATTAAAGAAATAATTAACATTAGGTGAAAGCACGGTGTAATAAGAATGTTGTATAGCTGTCTATCTCTTATCATTTCGATTCGTACTCGAGCATCTCACGTGAATGAAAGAAATAACAACATGCTTCGTGTATGACTTGTAATGGAATGCGACGTGATGGGGCATTCCATTACAATGAAGGCTCGAAGGCATTGAGAAGAGGAAAAGGACGACGCGAGAGATTGTTATTACTCCGTCAATGTTCGCGCATTAAGTAAGATACATATTATATTTTGTCGTTCGATAAAGTTCTCTCTTCTATCTTGGCAGTCTTTGATATAGTAATTCCAGTTTTCTCGTAAAATTAATTTACCTTACTCGAAATCATTGTTTTATAAACTGCTGTTATCTCAGTACGTTTGCGAATTGTTAAAATTGTTATAATTATTATGTTAAAATTATTTAATTCTTTAAAATTAAAATTATTAATCATGAAACTTAATTAATTACACAATGTATTCAATGATTGTATATATTTAATAAGAAATAATCGAGTTCCTTCGTACTTTCGGTGATTGTTTATCGATAAATACAGCGGCTATTGATATATCAAATATCAATATTATCCCGCTATTATATGCATGATCATCTTGTTATTCGTAGGACGAGACTCGAACGAGTAGGCAGTACGCGATACAGTTCGTTTGTGTGCAGTCTCCTAAAAATTCTCGAAACGTAAATTTAGCATTTATAATTATTTATAATTATTTATAATTATTTATAATTATAAATTTTTGTATAAATAATATTTATAATTATTTATACTTATTTATAATTTATAATTGTTATTATAATTTATAATTTACCACACGTGTGTTCCGCGAGATTTATTTAATCAAAATCGATAACGATAGGGTACATTATTTGTTAAAATAGTATTGCAACAGGAATTTTGTACGATTATCGAGTATCGAGAGAAGATCATATTTCCATACAAATAATTTCGTGATTTTCGCATTATTCTTTCATCACAATATACATAATAAAGTGTACATCGCGTAGTTATAATATCAAGAGTGCCGTGTAATAATATAAAGTACCGCGCAAACGTCGTATTCAACTAATTAATGCGCGCGCGATCGTAATTAACAGTTTTCGCGAGTGAGTGCCATAAAGAAACAGCAAAGTATCAACAAGAGAAAAGACGCAAGTCCGGAGCAAACTACGAGGTGAGTTATTCATCTTATTTACTTATTATTTATGAGACTAATTGCTCGTTTATTTCCGCGGTAAAATAATCCATTTTATATTACTGAGAAATATAATGCATGTAAAATATCTTTTCAAGAGAGATTTTTTATTTTGAATATTATTTAAAACGTTTAATAAAATATTTACAATTAATATTTTTTATAGATATAACGGTGCATAAAATATTTGAACATTTTTAAAATTTAGATTATTTAGATTATTTATACAAAAATCAGATTTTTATTGATCATATTTCTCATAATTAAAAATGCAACTTTTTTATTAAATGAGGACAAATAAATTCAATTGAGCGTAATAATTATTCTTTGAAATGTTAATTATTTTAAATATACATATATATATATATATATATATTGTATATATAAAGTGTATATATATTTAAAAAAAATCAACATTGTGTATACTACAAATACGTTGTTGCACATCATGCAGCGGTGAGTATTAAATTATTTTCTCTATTTTATGTAATTTTAAAATAATGAGAATTTACGAAATTATTTTCAAAAATTATATCAAATATGACATATAATGTATGTATAAAATATTAATAGGAGATATATATATATATATATACAGAGCGAGAGAAAAAATATTATGTCTGAAGCAAACAGAAATAAAGGAAACGCGGATAATTGCAATGAAAATTTTAATAACAAAATAATATAACGCGCATTATGACACTCATGACGTCTTTGTTTCGCCGCTAATTTGCTCGACATTTCCCAAACATTTGGATTGACGAGCGATTCTCTATCCGTTTTCAAGATACACAACCAGAACATTCTCTCGGTGTTTCTTAGAGAACTCCGCCTGGCGCTTTTCACTTCCCTATTTTTGAAAAGAAAACGCTTTATCCTTCTTTCTCGCCGTTTTCCCGTCGTCATCGTGGTGCACTTACTTAGCACGAGCGGCCAATCTACCAAGTAACTGGTCTTTCAGCCGAGTATCTCCGTGGAAAAGCTCAGAGTAGAGGCTGACCCTTCTCGGCAATCGCCGAGCTTAGGCGACCTGTTTCGTTGTACAGTCCGTTGTGTAGTTTTGGTAGAACATACACAACTACGAATTCATTATGTGCTTGAATAAAAATGGTTTCGTCACTATGACTAGTTATATTAATAAGTTCAACTCAATAGTTTGAAAAATAAGTTTTAGCAAATTTAGAATGGAAATAAAATAGAAATTTAATTAATTAAATTTTTTTAAGTCTTATCAAAAGATCGAAGTCTTATAATCGTGTGTGATTATTACTTTTTCCAGCATATAGTTATGTATTGAGTAAAAATAATTTTTTTTGTTATTAATTTTAGTATATTTAAATTATTATTATATACATTTTATATTTATTCGTGTACATTTTATATATCATTTATTTATTATTATTATGTATATTATAAAATGAGGAGAGAAAGAAATGGAAAAGCTAGTCAGAAGTTTGGAAAATTCGTCGAGAATCATTGCAAATGAAGTAGCTGTACATTACTTCGAGTCTATCGACATTACATGTAATGGATCTCGTTTCTTGTCGATGAGAACCAGGTTTGCCGAGACTGTGTCTATAGTTATACTTGATTCGAAGACCAGTTATATTCGCTAGATTGGCCATTTCTGATAAGTTAGTGCCTGCGAACCATCGAGTAGAAATCGCAGGAATTCTGAGGGAAAAGAAGAACGTTTTCTTCCTCGAATGAGCGAGCGCGCCGATAAAATCTTCAGCAATCTTTTCACAGACTTGCGGCAAATTCTCTTTCAACCGTAAAGAAAAACGTACTCTCGATACGCTACGTGATATTTGTCCATATGATGGACATCTAAATTACATATGTAAACTATAGAAAAAGAAATACTGTTAATTTTTTTATTTAATTTCTTTTTGTTTTGGAGAAATATATATAATTATTTTAAATAATTTTAAAGCCGGATTTGCATTTTTAAACGACTAGCACACGTTGGAAACGTGTACCGACGTAAATGTCATGTCACAAAACAATCTTTACCGTAGCTGTCCGCAAATTTAATTATTCTACGTAACGCATGTATTTAAACATGTTGTCGCACATGTGTACCAAATTGTAAATATATTCGTCCAAATTAACAGGCTCCTGCATTGCGTATCTGTGAACCGCGGAAACAAACTTTGCTGTATCTTTACAATGGAGTAAAATTTATTTCTTCGAGAAAACCTCAGAAGAGGGTGACATTCCATTTTAAATATAGCATATACAGCTGCGCGAAATAAAATTCGTTATTCGGCACTCGGTCGAAGTTTTTAAAAAAAAAAAAAAAAAACAATGCCGCTAAAACGCGTAACACAGATATACTAACGTACATTACTTTCTCAAGATGGTAATAAAAACCGCCGCCGTATATTTCCCAGCGCTACTTTTTTTTATCACCCCTGAAAATACATTCGAGAACATAGAATGCCACCACAAGCATTGCTCGAATACTTTGAGTTACGTGACCGCTATAAACTGCAAGTCGGTATACCTATGAAAAACAGACGCATGCTGGCACACTATTTTTATGGCGGACGATATAGTTTCTAGAAATCGTATACGTTTGTCGAATGTGATATTAAACGTTTAAAAATTAGTCACAATTGTTTTCGAATTCATCTGCAATTATTTTCAAAAATTTTATTGCACATTTTATTCGAGTTTATAAGTAGTAAACAATAATAAATCAAACGATAATGCTGTATTTAAATTAGCACGTTTTATAAAGAGAAAATTATTTTCACAATTTTCTTTATCAGTCAATTTATTTTTTTGTTTAATCTAAATTTTATCAGCTTTGATTGTAAGTTAAGTATTAGTATTCATTTAATGATACAATTATACATAAATAAATTTGCAAAATATATTATTGCAAGAAAATAAGATAAAAAGAAAGAACGTCAAGAAGTTAATAAAATAATATACACACGCGCTAAGAAAATTGCGTGCAGTTACGAGAGTCAAGGGAGAAAGAGAGAGAGAAATCTAATTCGGAAGAAACACGCGCATTTCTGAAAAAAATCTCAGAATTTTATGCTGGCACGTGTGACAGCGGCGCCGGAATACTTGGGACGTTTAATCCTAGTCTGCCATCGTGTTTCATATGGATTAAGTCGCGCTTTATCTCGAGGATGTATAATTCCCATAATCCGGCTAAATTCCTGAGAGAAAAATTTTTCGTATTAAACATTGCCAGCGCGCCGATTCCCTTTTTCTTTTCGCGTCCCTAAAAACGAATCTCGCAAGCGGAAAGAATAGACCAAAAAGCAACGCGAAACTCGACGAAGGAATAATAGAAGTGGCGTGTCAATGAATAATATGCCAATAATTTATCATAAAATATGATTAAAATTCTGTTTTATGAATTTTTTAAAACTGTACTCTTCAAATTGAGATTTTTTACACTGTTATAGGTAAAATTATTACGTAACGCTTTGATCCATCTGCATCCTCTTTTTCGATACTTATATCGTGTCGTGAGAATCTCATTTTTTCACGTATGGCGATATTATGCGTATCTCTTTCCATTTTCGAATTGCATCACGATTTAAGAAGACTTGCAAATAGATACAGATTTCAACAAAATTTTAAGAGAAAAAAGGAAAAGTAGATATATAAATTAGTAAAACTCTCTCATCTCACAATGTAGAATTAAAAATTATTCTTAATTAGACCTAAACATCTTTATTGATAATTTTGACAAATTGGAAAAGCTTTATTGATAATTTTGACAAATTTAATGTAAAGTCAAAACATTGAACATAAATTTGTAACGATTCGACAAATTGAGGAAATTACCTCAGATTATTAGAGACTGTTATAGCCATCATTTTGGAATAAATATTAATTATTAACACTCAAATAAAACACTTAGAGATTTAGAGTTCTAAGTTTTTTCTCCTAAGGAGAAAAATATGTACGCAATAAATGTCAATTATACTTCTGGAAAGAAAAAATAAGACTGATGTTGGAGTGTACACATTCGACTTTACATTTTTCATAGATTCTAACTTTTTTAGGGATCAAGACTTAATGATTTTATTGTTACATTTGGATATATATATATATATATATATATATATACAAGCAAGAAGAAAAAACCGATCTCGAGACATTAATTCAGTTGCGCTCTTTTAAAATTAATTGTTGAAATGTGCAACTCTCGCCAATTGAAAGTTATTCTTCAGCTATTTCATTTACATTTGGCTTACGGAGATAAGGGAACGACATATCGGTTCTCATTCTCTCTATTTCTCCCTTTCCCCATCGTCTTGATACACCACTTAAGCCAAGGAACCAATCTACTGAGCAACTGGTTCTTCAAGCAAGTATCACTGGAGGGATCTGAGAAAAGCTAACTTCTCTCTGCAATGAGAAAGCTTAGGCGTGCTGCCGATCTGTCTCGTTCTATCCTTCTATTTCTATTTCTCTTTCCCCCTATGCTTCTCCCTCTCCCACTCTCTCTCACTCACTCTCTGAAATGTTCATTTTATTTCGAATTGTTGGATTTTGGATTGTGACTACATGCTACATCTTTAAATCCATGTAGTAAAGGTAGAAAAACGATGAAGGAAAAATAGAAAATATATTCGCTTCGCGATCTTAAACAAATATAAAAATGTGATCTGTTTTTCCGATTATTAAATATTTAGTCTTAATTGCCGCCAAAATCGTTTTCCAATGAAAATTTAATATCGCATGACACATCAATTAAATTGAATACACATTTAACCTAAATATATAATTAATATTTTGATTCCCATAACGAGGGAATAAATTAAATCTTAATAACTGTCATCATTTTAATGATAGCTGTTAAAAGCTTTAGATTAATCTCAGCTTTTGATATAACTAATACTATTATAAATGCGGATTTATGTAGAGCATATATATGTATATAAAAAACATTAAACATTCAACATCAATAATAAAAAGCGAAGGTAGATACAATCAACGATCAA